TAGAATGAAAATATACAGGAAGAAAAACTGCATCTCTATTAAACATACAGCCTTTTTTTCTTGGCATTGTTTCCCAAACCACACAATATAGCAACTATTTACATAGCATGTACATATTGTATTAGGTATTATAAGTAATCTAGAGATGATTTAATATGTGTTATGTTATGCATGTTATGTGCAATTATTATGCTTTTTTATATATAAGGGACTTAAACATCTGCAGATGTTGGCATACTCAAGGATCTTAGAACCCATCTTCAAGAGAAAACTGCATACTGATTTTCTAAAGAGGTTTAACTTTGTTATGTACTATTTTTATGTCAATAATTTATACTTCCTGCTGGGCATGGAGGCGCACGCCTATAATCCCAACGGCAAAGGCAAGAGGATCACAAGTTCAAAAAGCCAGCCTCAGCAATTACGTGAGGTGCTAAGCAACTCAGTGAGACCCTGACTCTAATAAAATACAAAAAAAAATAGGGCTAGGAATGTGACTCAGTGGTCGAGTGCCCCTGAGTTCAATCCCTGGTACAAAATAATAATAATAATAAAAATAACTTCCTTTAGCAATAAAACATTATTAGCAATAGTACACCATCTTGATCTTTCATTTGGAATAAAGTGCAACTTGAAATCCATTCATATAAATATTGAACATAATTTCCTAATTTATTATTTATTACCAGAAAGCTTAGCAATTGAATATTAAACTACATATAGATAATGGATAACATACTTCTCTTTCTCAAGCTCAGTTTTCAGATCTTTAACCTGTTTTAAACAATGCTGTTCACTTGTTGCAATGGCAGTTAACTGTATTTTTAAATCATGTACTTCTTTCTGCAAAATAAACATACATACCCAAGGCAAATGTTTTTCCATTCAAAATATATGGTCACTCTAAGTAATCAAGTCTTATGTTTGGCAAAAAACATGTCAGGGTATGCCAAATATTTAAAATTTAAGTAGATTAATGTGATAATCATTTTAATTTTAAAATAAATGATCAATGACAAATGCAATGTAAATAAATTCTACCTTGATACTGTCAAGTTCAACCAGAAAAATTATATTTATATATTACAAAATATTTTGTCTGATTTACTCTACCAAGTAATTAATTTCAATTAAAAAGTTATATTATTGATGAAAATGTTAATTAATAAAATCAGGTAGTATCTTAGAAATAAAGATGTTCTTAGTATTATAGACAGTTTTTTATAACATAATTTTGTTTATGGACTGGAAACATACTTTAAATTCTAATACTATAATATGAGCACTATAAAATATATTACAATATAAGAATCTAACTTAATAAAGACAAAATTTCAAATATACCAGTTAAGAAATACTTAAGACACCAATAAATGTAATTGTTATAAGCCATAACATTATACACAGGATTGGTATCTTAAATGTAAACCTTTCTTTCCCACATTATAATCTAAAAGTTCTCTATATGTAATATTCAAATGTGATTTTAACAATCAAGTAACCAAATTTCAAATTTATTTTTATTAATTTAAATTTTAATAGCCACATTAGTTACATTTTAAAAGTTAATGGGAATGCATATTTTTAAAAAGAAGCTTATGAAGAAATTTTTTACAGAGTGAATAGTTTAAATATAATATATTTGCAAATCTGTATTCTTTGAATATAATATTTGGAACAAAAATTTATCCTTAACAAACCTCTCTGGTCTGTAAAAGACCAGTTAGTTCTTGCTCTTTTACTTTCAATTCTTCAGCAATCTTCTCGACTTGTTTTTTTTCATCTAAAAGTTTTTGGTTTTCTGCCTATTTAAAAATATAAACAAGTCATTAGAGTCAAACTGCACACATATTCAAAATAATTAAGCTGACAGACTTGTAGAGAGAACTATGAACTTTTCTGTGACTAAAATTCTTTAAAAGAGAAAAAAAGTCATTATTGAGTATACTCAAAAATAAAATATGATGACAGAGGATTTAATTGACAAAGCCCTGTTACAAAAGGCACCGAATTTTAATTTAAAAATCACACAAGCCAGGTGCAGTGGCACATGCCTGCAATACCAGACTCTTAGAAGGCTGAAGCAGAAAGATTCTAAGTTTGAGGTCAGAATCAGCAAATTAAGAAGGCCCTAAGCCACTTAAGGAGACCCTGTCTCAAAATGAAAGACAAAAAGGGCTGGGAGTGTAATCCAGCGACAAAGTGCCCCTAGATACAATACTCAGTACTCCCTCCCCCAACAAAAACTTTATACAAATAATTGAATTCAAACCTTATCTATGCATAAATCACTGCAACTTTATTAGCAAGTAGCTAATCACTCACTATTCTACCAATCTTATTTGTCCTTACACTGTACTAAAATGTGCTTCCCTGTAATTTTTATGTAATAGTTACTGTTCTGCCTTCCATAATCATTATAGAAATCTGATTCCTCTTTCACATAATCACTGATGAATATTTAAAAATAGTTATCACCCTAAGTTTTCCTCTTAAGTATTCTAAAATCTCTAGTTATTATCATTTTTCCTATGAATCTTCAGATGGGCTCACTTTATCAACTATACTGTTTTATGTAAAGCATCAAGAACTTAACTCAAATGAGCTAAACAACTAAACAAACACTTCTCAAAAGAAAATGTACATACTGTCAATGAATACATGAAAAGATGCTCAATCTCACTAATCATCATGGAAATGTAACCCAAAATGAAATCATTATACCAATGAGATATTATTTCACACCAGCTGGAAGGACAAGAATACAATAAGGCTGGGGTTGTGGCTAAGAGGCACTGGGTTCAATCCTCAGCACTACATAAAAATAAATAAATAAAATAAAGGTTTGAAAAAATACAAATAATAACAAATACTGGAGAGAATGCCCCCAAAAAAGGTCAGGGAGACTCTTATATGGTATTGGTGGGAATAAAAATTAGAATTGCCTTTATGAAAAACACTATAGATACTCCTCAAAAATTAAAAACAGACCTACCATACAATTCATTAATGCCACTACTGCATATATATCCAAAGGAGATGAAATCATTATACCAAAAAATACTTGCACTCCCATGTTTATTACTGCCCTATTCATAATGGCTAAAATATAGAATCGACCCAGATGACTTTCAGTGGATAAATGGATAAAGAAAATGTGATATATACATAGAGGAATATTATTCAGTCATAAAAAAACTAAATTCAATCACTTGCATCAATATGGATGGAACTGGAGGTCATTATGTTAAGTGAAATACACAAGACACAGAAAAACAAAAAGGAAAAAAATTCACCAAATGAGTTTAAGAGCATGATGGAGGTTATAAAAAACAATGATTTTTAATATCAGAACAACAAAAAGATTCCAATCTAAAGAACACAGAGAAAAAACATATTTAAAGAAAATAACGAACACCTCAAGAACCTGTGGAACAATATGAAAAGATCAAACAGATGTATAATGGCAATCCCAGGAAGAGAAAGGGGACAGAAAATCTATATATATTTGAAGAAAGAATAGCCAAAATTTCCTATATTTGAAGAAAATTAAAATTTTACAGATTTATGAAGTGCAGTGAATCTTAAACAGAAAAATTCAACCTCACTCATGTACTCCTTAAAAAACAAAGTTAAAACAAAGGGAGATCAGCAGAATAGAGGAAAGGGATCAGGAGAGAAAGAAGAGGGTAGGAGGGAGAAAATACAGAGGAGTGGTATTAGCCAAAAAATATTGTTGTATTGTGTGCATGGATGAATAGGTAACAACAAATCCCACCATTATATATGATAATGCACCAATTTTAAAATATTGAGAAAAAAAGGTTAAGGAGAAAATCTAGACAATGTTTGTGGATTTCTAATTGGAAAACATACAGGATGAAGACAATAAAACATCACCTTCAAGGTGGTGAAAGAAAAAAACTGTAAACCCACAATTCCAAAGGTAGCAAAAATATCCTTATGAATAAACTAAACAAATGACATATTCAGAATGGAAAACTGATGAGAGAATGTGTCACCAAGAGAAATGCACTACAAAAAATACTAAAGGAATTGTGGATGTGTAACGGACGTGATTCTGCAATCTGCATTTGGGGTAAAAATTGGGAGTTCATAACCCACTTCAATCTAATGTATGAAATATGATATGTCAAGAGCTTTGTAATGTTGTGAACAACCAATAAAAAAAAAGAGGTAAAAAAAAGAAATACTAAAGGAAGTGTTTTAGGAAGAAAAAAACATTACAGGTAAATTTGACTCTTCAGGAACAAATGAAGAATATTAAAAATGATAAATATCAGAATAAATTAAAAAGACATTTGTTCCTCTTAAGTTCTTTTAAAAACACAGGACGGTTTAAAATAATATTAACACTGTCTTGTGAGGATATAAATAAAAACATGTAGGTATCATATATATATAACACTGCCAGTATAAAGAGCAAGGTGGTAAAGGGAGGTAGGTGTGTGTGTGTGTGTGTGTGTGTGTGTGTGTGTGTGTGTGTGTGTGTGTGAGGGAGGGAGAGGGGGGGAGAGGGAGGAGACACACATTTAGTCAAAAGTTTCAACATTTTACATGAAGTGTTACAATATTAACTCAAGGTAGCCAAAGCTATGGATACATCATAATTCCTAGAGCAACCACAGAAATAAATGCAAAAAGGTATAGATAAAATACTGATAAATAAAAATAGAATGCCAAAAAATATTCAAATAGCCCAAAAGAAGGGAGAAATTTTAAAACACAAGAAACAAATAGAAACTTTAAAATACTAGAAACAAAAGAAACAAATAGAAAGCAGATTTATAAGTGATGAATATAATCAGACCAAGTCAACATGTGAATTACAATTTTAAAATATAGTATTAGTCTAATATCTCCAATTAGCAGAGACTGTCAGAGTGTACAAAAAAGGAAGACCCAAATATATATGGGCAACAGATATAAAGATATGTTCAAATATAAAGACTAAGACGGGGGGAAAAAAGACTAAAACAGGTTGAAAAATGAAAAGTATTAACAATAAACATGAAAAACATGGAGTGGCTATTACAATATCAGTTAAAATATACTTAAAGACAACTAATGTCTTTAAGACAATTATCAGAAATAAAGAGGACATTAATAATAATCAATAGATCATTCATTAGAATATAATAGTTTTATCAAGTGTGAGGCATATAGCAGAAATTTAAAATACCTATAATGATCACTGACAGAATTAAAAAGAGAGAGGTGGCAGAGCGCTTGCCTAGCATGTGTGAAGCACTAGGTTTGATTCTCAGTACCACATATAAATAAATAAAATAAAGGTCCAAAAAAAAATTTTAAAGAGAAACAGACAATTCCAAAACTGTAAGAGATTTTTATCCCACCATCAATAAATAATATAATTGAATCGAAAATATCAATTAAAAACACACAGATTTCCCGGGCACAGTGGCACAAGCCTGTAATCCCAAGAGCTCCGGAGTCTGAGGCAGAAGGATCATGAGTTCAAAGCTAGCCTCAGTAACTTTGCAAAGCCCTAAGAAACTCTGTGAGACCCTGTCTCTAAATAAATAAATAAATATAAATATATATATATATATATATATATATATATATATATAAAAGCCTGGGAATATTGCCCAGCGGTTAGGGCCCCTGGGTTCAATCCCTGGTACAAAAATAAATAAAATATATATATATAAAAAACCAACTGGATCTGATATCTTATAGAACACTCAACAGAGTACACATTCTTTTCAGATGCACATGGAATATTAACTAAGATATACAGTATCCTTGGTTTATAAAACAAACCTTATACCTTATCAAATAAAAAAAATAAATTGAAGTACATTTCTCACCATAATGAAGTCAAACTAGAAAGTAATAATAAAAGTAAAACAGGAAAATAAATAGGTGGAAATTCAGCAAAAAAATTCTCAACAATCACAAGGTCAAGGAAGAAATCCCAAGAAAAATTTAAAAATATTTTAACATAATTGAAATTGAAATAATGAAAATAATATACCAAAATTTGTGCTAAGAAGCTAAAGAGGTGATTAGAGGACATTTACAGTAGTAAAATGCTTATAGAAAAGTTCCAAAACCATAATATAAGCTTCTGCCTTAGGAAACTAGAAAAAAGAGCTGGGAGTGGTGGCATATACCTGTAATCCCAGTAGCTCAGAATGCTGAGGCAGGAGGATCCAGAATTCAAAGCCAGCCTCAGCAACTTAGCAAGACCCTGCCTCAAAAAACAAAAAGGGCTGGGGATGTAGTTTAGTCGTTAAGCAACCTTGGGTTCAATCACTGGTGGGGAAAAAATGAACCTAGAAAAGGAGCAAAATAAACCCCAAACAAGAAGAAAATAATAAAGAGTAGAAATCAATCATATTGAAAACAGAAAAACAAAATGAAAAAATGAAACAAAAAGTGGGCTATTTGTAAAGATCAATAAAATGAATAAACCTCTGGCAAGACTGACAAAAAGACACAAATAATCAATATCACAAAAGGAAGGATAATGCTCCACAGACATTCAAGGATAACAGGGAATGCTACAAATAAATCTATCCACAAAAATTTAACAAAACTTGGAGTAAATGGACTAATTGCTTAAAAAACAAACACTTTCAAAATCATTCAAAGCAAAACAGGTAAAAAAGTTGAATTAGAATAGTTAAAACAATCTTAAATTGGAAAAATCACACCATCCAATTTTAAAACTTATTATAAAGCTATAGTAATCAAGACACTGCAATACAGGCAAATGGATACGCAAGTATGTCAAGGACATTACGTGAGAGTCCAG